AATTCATAATGCCCATATCTCGTCCGAAATGCTGTCTTAGGTATATCCTCTGCTCTCACTCTCAATTGGTGGTACCCTGACCTTAAGTCAATCTTTGAGAAAACTGCGGATCCCACAAGCTGATCCAGCAAATCATCGATTCTCGGAAGTGGATATTTGTTCTTGATGGTTACTTTGTTCAATTGTCTATAATCAATGCACAATCGGAGGCTTCCGTCCTTCTTCTTTACAAAAAGGACTGGAGATCCCCAAGGTGAAACACTCGGTCTGATGAAACCCTTCTCAAGTAGCTCTTCGATTTGCTTTTTCAGTTCCGCTAACTCTGAAGGGGACATCCGATAAGGAGCCTTAGAAATTGCCCTGTACCGGGTACCAATTCAATTGAGAACTCTACCTCGCGCTTTGGGGGTAAACCGGAGACTTCGTCTGGAAATACATCCGCAAATTCTTTGACAATTGGGATATTCTTCACGCCTTCATCAATCTTAGCTTGGATAGAGAAGAAAACCATGTAGGCCTGGCAACCCTTCTTCATACATCTATCAACTTGCGCCGCCGACAAGAAAACATGATCTTGAGTCTCGACTGGGGTCACCGACAAAGAAGATAAAGACACACTCCTCTCTCTACAATCTAGGATAGCACCATTTGCAGCCATCCAATTCATTCCCACAATTACATCCATACCTCTCAGTGGTAGGATAATTAAGTCCATAGTTGTTTTCCTATTTTTAAACTCGACTACTAGGTTAAGGCATGCCTTAGCGGTCCTCACAGATTCTCCCGCAGGAGTAGACACATTCATATCAAACGGTAAAATACACACAGGCAAATCAAGGTTCTTTACACAAGTTTCAGAAATAAAAGAGTGTGTAGCACCCGAATCAAATAGTGCAACAATATCATGATGAAGGATTTGATGTTACCTCTAATGGCATCTGGGGAGTTCATGGTGTCCTGAGTAAGAGCAAACACACGACCAGAGACAGTAGGATGTTGGGAAGGGTTCTTCATATTTGAGCCCTGGTTGTCCCCACAAAACTTTGCAATGTGACCGGGTTTCCCACAAATGTAACAGATCCAGCACTGTCCGAAATGATGACGCCCGCATTTAGTGCACTGTTGAGAGCTCGCTGTACTCGGGGCAGGGGTAGATACTGTTGGGCTCCTCTGTGACCCGTAATAACTACTATGATAGCTCCTCTGTCCTTGGCCCCTTTGAAATGGACCCTTCTGCCTTCCTTGGTTCCATGAGCTACTCGAACCCTGATGGTTTTTCTTCATAATGCCTCCAGTGGGTCGAGGGTAGGTTGGGGGTCTACTATATGAATAACCCCTCTTCTCTCTCTCAACCTCCTTCTTACTGCGAGCTACTACTTGTAGTTTTATGCACATTTCATCATAATCTCGGATATCTAGATGAGCCAATTGTTCCCTCAATTCTGGTCTAGCCTTCTCCAATAAGCGCTTAGCCTTCCATTCGGAATCATCCCTATACTGCAGGTACGTGGAGTATCTAGATAACTCCTGAAACTTAGCAATGAATGTGTCCTCATCGAGGTTCCCTTGCTTAAAGGCATGGAATTCCGCTTCCTTCTCAGACCTTAACTCTGATGGAAAGTAATGCCTGAATAATTTTTCCTTGAATTCCTCCCAGGTGAGTGTAGAATCATCCCTGGGCCCTGCTGTCTCCCACCAATCTCTTGCTCCTTTCACTAGGAGCACTAATGCTACTTGTACTTTTTGATTGCTGGTGCATGTGACTACTCGAAAGATGGATTCGAGTCTCTTCACCCATTCCTCTACCACGGATGGTTTAAGGTTACCATCAAACGTAGGAGGGTTAAACTTCCTAACAGTTTCCCACACATCAGTAATGGTCGGTGGGGCTCTCTGTTCCTCCTGCCTAATTTCTTTCCTTCTAGACTCATGATCTCTCAGAGTGGCAGGATGTGAGGAACTGCCTTCCCCCACATGACTCTCAACATGAGCCCTATCTCCATTTTCAGTTACCTTTTGCCTCTTTAGCTCCGTCAACTCTTGTTCGTATCCTTGAACCTTGTCTGTTAATGTTTTTACAAGCATTCTTAATTCCGCCAAGTCAGGCTCCTCATTTGGCAGTGGCGGTGGCAGGTGCTCATGTTGGAATCCTGAGTTACCACGAGTAACAGGCATTTTCTCTCCCCTCCTAAAGGATACAAGATATAAATAATAAAATTAGCCTAGCTATATCATGGCCATACAATGAGAAGCACCATAACAATGTATATTGCCAACCGACTATATGCTCTGATACCAATATGTTGCACCCTCAAATTTACAAACTGATTTTTCGCAAGTTATTAATTCAAGAAATCATTTTTTTTTCATTGAACCCTTATCATACCCTTATCATGGTAGAAAAATTTCTACCATGATACATCCAAGACAATATACCACAGGTCTTAAAATATCTCAAAAAGTAATTAGAACCATGAGGGACAGACATGATCCTCATAGCATGTTATTTAAATTAGGTCATGAATCAAAAGGGACAGACATAATCCTCTTGGACATATAAATGCATTTAATAAAAAGGATTAGAGTTTACATGCTCCATAGACAAGATATGTCCTAAGTTGGCACAAGATACATTGTATAATCCAAAATAAGAGGCAACGTAAAAGATGGTGTCTCATACACCATAATTACACCTCTGGTGCTTTCTCGGCCGGATTCGCTCCTGTAAAAATATTAACCACGGGGAATGAGACTTAAAAGTCTCAATAACCAAAAATTAATATGTAATGATGCATGCGGATGTAACTAATCATGCGATTGCTAAGTGGGCACACAAAACATTTAACCGAACAATATTTTCAAACAAACCGAACAAGTATTTAATTGCATGACTGCACCTTATATCCTCCTTTCACCATGCTCGGACGCCAAATCACCCGGCCAAAGGTGAGTTGGACCAAGCGACACGCCACTCATTGGGTCCAATGAGGGCTTACCACGTGGTAATAATTAACCGAACAGAAATTCCCATTAACACCATACATTAAAATACCCTGACAAGTCATGCATCATTCAAATATCCAAACAGGAATATATCCGAACAATAATATCTCATCATGATAAACAAAAATAAATTTTTAACCCACTTGGCAATAATTTCAAACAAGTATATACAGTATTTATTTTCAATAATTCATAATTTTTCCAAACAACAAAACAACACATAACCATTCACAAACACACTCATCACAACACATTAATAATGGTTACCTTGTGTCTTGAATAACAAGTTCCCCTTCACAACTCCTTTTTCACCACTATCTTTGTCAATATAATCTACATAATTATTTCACAATACTATATATTAATTTTACATTAAAATAAATAACTCTAATTTAAAGAGTTAGAAAGTCTTAAATCTATAGTCCATATTAACACTAATTTAAGATTTATGCCTTATTTAACTTCCCAAATTCTTTTCTAAAATTCTCGTACCCTAATGAACTATTTTTTTTTTATCCTCAATTCACTTCTAGTATCGCAATTTCATCCTTCTACATTCTAAAAATTCATCTAAAAATAAATTAAAAATTTTAGAATTATCCTGAAGCCTCAAATCACCTTTCTATAACCTCAAAAATACCTATTCATACTTAAATAAATATTTAATAATCATAGATTTATCCCTACATCTCAGATTCCACATAAATTCAACCATATAGATCTAGATTTTAACTCAAAAATTCTTAAACATGAGTTTCAACCTTAAGAAAATATTCTATAATATTTATTATATCCCTAAGAATTTTAACCTATATTTTTAATCCATCATATCATCAGATTAACTATCCTATAGAAAAATCCTAATCAAAATATTTACTCTATCCTACAAAATAATCATATCACTAGAAAGCTAATATTATTTAGAAAATAACTATAAAATTAATTTTGTAATTAAATAAATTTTTAAATGCTAATCTAAACAGGAAAGTTAAAACATACCTGAAGAAAAAAGAAAATAATCCCCCCTTGCGAGAAAACGCCGAGCAACGTGAGAGGAAGAGAGAAAAATAATATAAAAATGGGATTGTGAGTCCCAAAATTATATTAAAAAAAAAAACTATAGGTTTGAATTTAATTATTCAAACCTTTGGGCCCAAAGTTGCAATTTTCTCTAAATTGCATCTTAGCCTCTCATGCTTCCTAATGCACACACCTCCTCCTTTTTATACATGAAGGCACCTCTTCTCTTCCCTCATCTAACCAATGTGGGACTTAGAAACAACAACCTTCCACCCCCCCTTTTTTTTGTTCCTTCTACCTTCTCTTTTTTTTTTTAACACATACATAAAAAAAATTATTTATGTATTATATCTTAACTAAATATTACTTATGTGGTTTTAAATTTAAATTTTTAAATTCATAATTAAATACCTAATCATAATATTATTTCTAAATAACCTCAAATAATATAAATTCCTATTATTATCATTTTTTTCCTCAAAACCTAAATTCCACAATTTCTTTATTATATAAAAATCAGGATGTTACATGAGACGACAAAGTATGAAGAGAACAGGTGAGACTAGAGAGATTGGCTCATAAAGGAAATGGAGAAAATGACACCTATTATTTTTTAAATTTAAATTAAGAATAATTTGATCATTTATATTAATTTTTAATGATAAAAAGTCTTTAAAGACAGAATTATGTCATTTCAAAAGACTAAAATGTTATTTATATAATTTAAAAAAATTTTACTATCATTTTTTTTATTTTTAACTTAAAAAAATATTAACAATTTAATAAACTCTATTTAGTGTGGAAAACTTTTTCCCATACTAATAAAAAGAAGAAACCAATCCCAAACACGCTGAAGTACATAAATTTTCATATTTCTGTTTTATTTTTACTTTTTAAATATTGAAATATTCCCTGCATCCCACGGGGAAATAAATAGAGCAAAAGTCAAATGCGTCGGCCGGTGTGTTTCTTGGCTATATAATGAGAAACACTGCGCGAGGAGAGGAAGAACTGGAAGACAACAAAGGAAGAAGAAATAATGTGTGGCATATTTGCTTATCTTAACTATAACGTCAACAGAGAAAGGAGGTACATTCTGCAGGTATTATTCAATGGCCTTAGGCGATTGGAATACCGTGGATATGATTCTGCTGGCATCGCCATCGACTCCTCACTTTCCCTCGATCCAAACACTTCTCAATGTTCGTCAATTTCCATCACTCCTCCTCCTATTATCTTCCGTCAAGAGGGAAATATTGAATCCCTTGTCAAATCCGTCTACCAAGGTCACTTCTCCTTCTCTGTATGTTTTTTCTTCGCTCCTGCTTCTCATCGCGCTCATAGTACTATTTATTTACTCAATTTTGGTGGTGTATAGCTTCTTCTTCTTCTTTCCTATTTTAATTTATGGCAGCTCTGCCTGTTACCATGCTGACATTTTGATGCTCTATTTTATCACGAAATTTTATTTGTTGCAATTTTCGTGGGTGAAGAAATTTCCGTATAATAGGTAACTCACTGCAAAACCGTATTTTTATTACGCAATTGCAGCATAGAGCCAAGCTTCCTCCGATTCTCCCTCCTTGTCTTCCTCCCTCTCCCCTGTTTCTTTGCCAACCAGGAAACTTTAAATCTAAGTTGATCTTTTCTATTGCTGTGTGTGGTTCGTGAGTTTGAGATCTAACACTAAGATTGGACTTCTTCCTTTGTTTTTGGGGAAAAAATCAGAAGTTGATGACGTGGAATTAAACTTGGAGGAATCTTTCTCCATCCATGCTGGAATAGCGCATACACGGTGGGCAACTCACGGAGAGCCTTCTCCAAGGAATAGTCATCCTCAGAGCTCTGGCGCTGGAGATGAATTTTTGGTTGTTCACAATGGGGTTATTACTAATTACGAGGTGTGACCAATGTTTCATTTCTTTTTTTGACAGGACCAAGATTTAATTTCTCGTCCGCTGTCTTGTGATTATTTGACCTCTCTATGGCTTCCTTTCTCTTTTGATTTGTTTTCAAGGTTGCTATGACTGTAATGAGCATGGTAATATGTGGGAATTTATTCGCAGATACAGTAATGAATAATAGCAAGCTAATTATCTCGTTTTATGCGTTACTGCAAACTCATTTAATTCAAGATAGACTCTATACTTGTGGCAGAATGATACAGACAATAATAAAGAGGGTTGAGCAGGTGCTCTCCTTCAGATTGTAGTTAATCGAGTTAGGATGATGCTGTCAACTTTTGGCTACCTGGATGATAAGGGGGAATTGACATGTTGCTCTAGAATCAAAATTCTTTGCTGACAACAAAATCAGGATTTACATTGTCTCATCATAGTTGGTTATATATTCAGGTTTTGAAGGAAACATTGACCCGGCATGGGTTTACATTTGAATCTGAAAACTGACACAGAAGTCATTCCAAAACTTGCAAAGCTTGTTTTTGATAAAGCAAATGAGGCAGAAGGTAACTTTGGTTGGTAGAAGGTGCTTTTGATTTATACTTTTTGAGACAGGGATTTTTTCTTTCTTATTCTTGTTATAAATGCAGCTTTTGATCATTCTTTATATTTTCTCCATGTAATTTAAATACAGACGCTTTAGAAGGTGATTAGGTGTGACTTCGGTCTTGATTACAGATTAGAAGTACATGAATGTTAATGCATTAATGCACAAAGCTGTTATTAGTTACATGGCTTCTTTGGTAGGAATGCGCATGAATGTTCTTTCATATGGACAAAAGGATGCTGTTCATGATACCATGTTTATGTTAAATTGAATAAGATGAAAAGAATATAAAACGACATAATTACCGTTTCAGGTCCAACAAAATTGATATTTTATGAATTTGTTTGAAAATGATTATTCCACCTGTCATAGACGGTTAGACCCTACTATGTCTTGATAAAGTTAGCCTTTGCTCCCCCTCTACTAGAAAACCATGCAAAGTTTTGGAGTCTAAGAATGTGTTTGGATACCAGTTTGGAGGGTCAAACCCAATTTTTCAAACCCAGTTTTCATTAAATGCTTGTTGGCTACTATTTTTTAAATAGGATTTTGCTCCTCAAACTCAGTTTTCCTAATGCAAGCAAAAAGGTTGCTTTTGCTAAATTGGATTTTCTAGACTGAATTTTCCTGGCACCATTGTTTACAACTAATATCCATGCACGCACTAAATTTTCCACATTATGTGGACCATAGAGCACCATCTATGATTTTAACTTCCTAACTGTTACATTAGGGAATCTGCATCGCAGTTATACTTCCAGTTCATCACAATCTTGTTTCCATGAACTTTTCTGTCGGCTATTCCTGATGTTGGATTGAAGCATTTTCCCATTCATGCTGCAGGCAACCAAGTTGTTACGTTCAGTCAAGTTGTTCTGGAAGTAATGAGGCATCTTGATGGAGCATATGCCCTTATTTTCAAAAGCCGACATTATCCAAATGAGTTAATTGCTTGCAAGCGTGGCAGTCCACTACTCCTAGGTGTTAAAGTAAGCAGAATGCAATAAGAAGTTTCAGCTTCTATAAACACAGTGGCAGATCTGTATGCATAGCGGTTTTCTGGCATCATTTTGTTTGGTTTATTATTTTATGAATCTTCTTGGTTTTGTTAATGTTTCTTCAAGTGAGACTGTATAAATAGCTTCCTGAGGATGCTAGCAACATATTCTCTCTGTATCCTGGCAATTTATCTTTCTAAGTTCATCATGCTGATTGATTGCTTGGCTGTATGAGCTGAGCAATGTTTATTTCATGATATAGGCAAATGAATGATTTATGTTTCATGCATTGTCAATCCTGCCGATGAAGCAGCATAATGTTGCAGTGTATTGTTGGGTATCTGTAGCGCAGATGGCCAATGTGCTTGTAGATAATTTTTGATACATCAATGGTCTGCTTTGGTGAGAAGCTATTCATATCAATAATACCTGTTGAATGAAAATGATGTTTTCTTTCTTTTTGAACTGAAGAGAATGAAAATTAATATACTGAAGTCTATAACCATTTACCATGACTGAACTATATCCTGTGGAATGTTTTGTGGCATCACCCTTGTCTAGCTCATCTATTTTTCCCGCTTGATTGATATTGGGCAGCAGTGAATTATGTTGATTGGTTGATGAGGATTGAATAGACTTCCTTTCTAATTTCAGGAATTGGCAGAAAATATGGTTGATGGTTCAGCATTTGAGGATAATAACTTTCTGTCAAAAAATGGCCACCCCAAGGAGTTGTTTTTATCTAGTGATGCTAATGCTGTGGTAGAACATACAAAGAAGGTTTTGGTTATTGAGGATGGTGAAGTCGTTCATCTCAAGGTACATGTGCCTCTCTTTCCATTATACACTTACAAGCTACTGTGTTTGTGGCATATATCTAATCACTGGAAGTTATAGAATTTGACTCTGGGAAACGTTGATATAAAGGGAAAAAGAATCTTTGCAAAGTACTTTGTGAATAATCGTATCCATATTCTTCCCATCTCCCTCATTTAACCTGATAATCATTAACTCTTACTATATGTTTTTATTATGCCAAATTGCTTTGTTGAATTGTTATCTCACTTTGTATGGAGTATACCACACTCACAAGTACTCCCTACAGGATGGTGCAGTTTCAATTTTGAGGTTTGAAAATGATAAAGGAAAAAATGGTGGTTCCCTTTCTAGACCCGCTTCAGTGCAACGGGCTTTATCAGTTCTTGAGATGGAGGTCAAGCAAATTAATAAAGGACATTATGAGCATTATATGCAGAAAGAAATTCATGAGCAACCTGAATCTCTTACAACCACAATGAGGGGGAGGCTTATTAGGGGAGGATCAAGTAAATTAAAAACTGTACTTCTGGGTGGATTGAAGGATCACCTCAAAACAATCCGACGAAGTAGAAGGATTGTTTTCATTGGCTGTGGTACTAGTTACAATGCTGCTTTGGCAGCTAGACCAATATTGGAAGAACTTTCTGGTTAGTTCCCTGCAACTTTGATCTTCTAGTCTTTTTTTTTTTTTTTTTTTGCATCAAAAAATTGTTTTCATTCTTACATGTACTATTTACTCATCAAATTGTAGGAATCCCTGTTACCATGGAAATTGCTAGTGATCTGTTGGATCGGCAGGGACCAATTTACAGAGAAGATACTGCTGTTTTTGTTAGCCAATCTGGTGAAACTGCAGATACGTTACTTGCACTACAATATGCGTTAGACAATGGTGCATTATGTGTTGGCATAACAAATACTGTTGGTAGTGCAATAGCAAGGAATACACATTGTGGTGTACACATAAATGCTGGTGCTGAGATAGGTGTGGCAAGTACCAAGGTAAAAGTTACATTTAGGGGAGAAACATATCCACACGCATGTGCTTGCATGCGTGCACGTATGTCTGTGACTGTATGTGTATGTGCGTGATGTGTCACCATGTGTATTATTTTACATCACCGTCAGTTGCTTTGTTCACACATTGATATTTGTAATAGGCTTACACAAGTCATATGTATGTATGTTCGTTCGTTTGTATTCCGTAAGTGTATAGTATTTTATATCACCATCAGTTGCTATATTCATACATTTATATTTGTAATAGGCTTACACAAGTCAGATAGTAGTGATGGCCATGTTAGCACTTGCAATAGGAGGTGACACAATTTCCAATCAGGCCAGAAGAGAAGCTATTATTGATGGTCTCCTTGACCTGCCAAGTGAGTTTCTATTATCTAATTAATGGCAATGTTGTCATTGTCTAAATTCTTTCAAAAATCTACCCTGGTAGATACTGTGTGGCGGTGAATATGAATGCTATGCTTTAGTTGGTCAAGAATTGCCAAAAATTTTCATTGTGCCTATCATTCTCATTGATATACCAGTGATAATGTCAGCAAATTAACTTTTTTAAATAAAAATATGATGGTGGTGACGGTAGTAGTGATAAGAGTAGTGCTAGAGCGGCAGTGATGAAAGTGATTCCCAACATTGACTACTAGAGCATAGATGTTGATACAGGTGGCAGCGATGGCATTAGTGACCTAAAAATACTTGATGTCATGCATTTTGATAGCATTAACTAGAGGTGGAAGGTTGGAATCCATGGTTTCTTTCATTTCATGAAATTTGGTTTTAAACAGAATTTGTAATATTTAGGAATGCCCTTAAAAAAAAAAACTTGAACAAAGTCCAAATCTTAAATTCACAAACAGTTTTGTAGGAATTTGTCAACATACTTTGTACCAAATGCCACCTTTTTATGAAAATAACCTTGTAAGATATTATAGTAGTTAATGTGAACTGTACGGTGTGTTGTAGATAAAGTCAGGGAGGTGCTGAAGCAAGACCAGGAGATGAAGGATCTGGCAAAGTTGTTGATGTCTGAGCAGTCTCTTCTTGTCTTTGGGAGAGGATTTAACTACGCAACAGCTCTGGAGGGAGCTTTGAAAGTGAAGGAGGTGGCTCTTACACACAGTGAAGGAATACTTGCTGGTGAAATGAAGCATGGTCCTTTGGCGTTGGTGGATGAAAATCTTCCTATTATTGTTTTAGCTACTCGTGATGCTTGCTTGAGGTTGGTTGCGTTTAGTTAGGAGTGGCTATAATGTCTGGGTTAGAAAGTGACATTAACATCTTTAACTTTACACAGCAAGCAGCAGTCTGTCATTCAGCAACTTCATGCTCGCAAAGGCCGTCTTATAGTTATGTGTTCAAAAGGGGATGCTGCTTTGGTGTGTCCTGGTGAATCTTGTAGGGTAATTGAAGTTCCACTGGTTGAGGACTGTCTTCAACCTGTAATTAATATAATTCCATTACAGGTGGGTTAACTGACTTTTCAAATCATTTTTACTTCTGCATTCCATACCAGTTGTGTACTATTAGTGGGTTTTTGGGGATGTAAACTTTAGCATGAGAACGGATCTTGTGCTATTATCATTTGGTTAAATTTTGAGGCGCATTTTCTTTTTTTGGGTTTAAGTGTATTTTTATCCAGCAAGTATTCCCGGAGGAGCTACAAGCATTCCATTCCAAAGAAAATTATGAAGTAATGGAACACATAATTTTTCAAATCTAATGCAATGTTGTACTTTTTTTGCGGTCAACGTTAATTTAACATTGTGTCAAAAACAATCTCCTGACTCTTTCTAACACTCGACTTAACATTGTTCCCTTGGGGAAAAGAAGGCAACATTGCACTAGTTTTAAAAGATTATTTGTATGTGTTACATTGTTCCACAATTTTCTTTTGGATTTCCATAACTCCTTTAGGAATACTTCCGGAGCAAAGATACACTTTTAATCCCTCTTTTCTTTAATCCTTCTCTATTTCATGTGCTTATAATGGAAAAGATGTGTTTCTAAAATATTTGTAGATTTTAAGTTCTTGAGTTCGTATATGCTATTCTTGCTGTTCGATTTCCTTGTCATTCCTGAAATCTTCTCAGTTTCCATTGTTATGGATTTTACTAGGGAAGGTTTCTACTTATATATTTTAACAATGTGTCATCTTTCTGATGTAGTTACTGGCATATCATCTCACCGTGCTAAAAGGATTAAATGTTGACCAGCCTCGGAATCTCGCCAAGAGTGTCACAACCCAGTGAAAATGTATTGATTGACGTTCTCTTGTATTTTGTTTGTTTACATCTATTTTTTATTCCAGTACAAAATAACTTAATACATGTAAGGTTGAGGGGAGGGGATTAGGAATTCTTACCATATGGATTTGCCTGATTCTGAAACCAATCAAATTGGGGCCCTTAACATTCTCATCTTTGTGTTAGGAGACAGTTTTGTTTGATGAACACCTCTCAGTTGCGCTTTTCTGCAGGACATAGGTCATTTAAAAAATAAAAAATAAAAAATGCAGGACATAGTTGGGGCGTGCAAAACTTAACTGGCATAAACAAAACTCAATCAAACCAGATTAGATTTGGTTAATTAAGTTGTTTTTTTTTTTAATTTCCAGTGCAGTTCGATTAAATCTTTTTACTATTTTGATGTATTTGGTTCGGTTTTGTTTTGAAAATTGATGAAATGAGTAAAGTGTGTAGATATTACGTGATACAGAAAATTCGTCCGGGTACAAAAGTAACGATGAATGCTTGACACTCCCTATGAAGCTGATCTTTTAGATGAAGTGAATGAAATCAAATAAGATTTTACTCGTTGCTCATTTCATCATAGAATTCAAGATAAAAATGCCGTTTTAAGGTGCTCGATTTGCTATCCTAATTTTTATTTTTAAGATTTAAGTAACATTAGGAAGATATTACTTCAGGGTGATTTCAATTTACCTTATAATTATTTGAGTAAAGTAAATTTACCCAAAATGAGATAAAATTTTAAGGATTTAATTTTGAGCCATGATTTTTAGAAGGGAAAATTAAATAAGGACAAGCCGGGATAAGATAAACGGCGATTAACTTATTTGTCCAATCAAAAAATATATTTATTAAAATATTATTTAAATTATATGTTAGCAAAATAAGTTAAGATTTAGTCCTTTAGACTATTAAGAGAACTTTAATCAATTGTAAATAAATTATGAGAGAATTTGAAGTATCCACAAGGTCAATATACAAGACGTTGGGAGAAATTAAGAGTTTTAAAAATAGAAAGAAAAGAAAAAATAATAAAAAATTGTAAAAAAAATAAGGAAAAATTACACCTATATCTCACATAAGAGAATTTATTATTGAGAGATTATGTGAAGATTACAAAATACTTTCAAGCAATGTTTTGAAAATTGAACTCGACCAGATGATTTGACTACTACCTGCTGATCAAAACAACTTGATCCAACTAGTTGGACCAATCTAGTAGTTGAATCGGATTGACCTAGCTAGTTGTGAAAGAATTGGATTTGACCTGAAAATTGAAGAGGATCAACCCGGTTTAAAGCCAAAAAAATAAAAAAAATAAGGTTAAGTCACTTATATTTGCATTTTTTTCTTTTCTAATATCTAATTCTCTTCTATCTTCTCTTATCTTATCTTTGATCTCTCCTCCACGGTCCAAGCTCAATCTCTGACCTCTTCTCTAGCCTCTGCCTCCAGCTCTAGTGATCTAGCCTTTGGTATCGAAATTGAAAACTTGTGAGTTGTGATATAATGACGTGCCTTTGACTCCACCGTTTTACTTTGAGATCGTAAGCTTGGGCTAATATGCCTTTGCTTCCAACTTTAGTGATCTAAATATCCAACCTTTGGCATCAAGATCCCAAGCATTATCAAAAAATTAATGTTTTATTTATATATTTGTGTATACAAATATTATTTTATTTAATTTTTATGTCATCAATTCAACTACTGATCTAATCAGTTGAACCATGAAAATTGCGACCCGTTACTCTATTGGGTTCGATGTCTAGTTTGCATTTCAAAACATTCTCTCAAGTACCAAATCATGTATATTTACAACTTGACAAAGAGCATTTACAACTGTAAGTTACAAGTGCTCGTTGTCCAATTATAAATGCCCTTTACTAAATTGTAAATGAGCAGGATTTATAATTTGAAAGCATTTTGTAAATTTTATAGGACCTTTCGGTAATAAATTCTCTTCTATAAAATCTAAGTGTAATGTTCCAAAAATTAAATTTATTAAATAAAAGTGAAAAAAGAAATACTGTCAAAAAAGGAGGAGGAGGAGGAATACAGAAGTAGGAAAATATGGGCGTTTGGTATAAAAAACATGGGCTTATGGCCCACTTCCATTGGACAATTATTTGCCAACACGCTCACGCATTCAATCTTATAAAATACTCCCCTGCTTTTAACCAAAATCACTCTCTTGCTTCATTCTGCTTCTTGTTCTTTCTAGTGGCGCAGTGAGTGATATTATGATATTTAAGGCGCAATTTAAAGCTTTTCAAGATAAGGTAAGTGTTCTATTTTTTTTTTCCCAATGATCTACCTCCTTTGACTTTTAGATTCTTAATGGTGACAAAATTTATGGTTTGATCAAGCGTTTCAATTGATTATTTGACTTTTAATGGAACTAATAATTTGGAATAAGAGTTTGTATGATTTGGATTTGCCCAAATTGTTAATTTGAGGAATTAAAGTTATGGTGTAGTTGAAAAATTGGGGTTTATGATTATAGTAATGATATATTTTAAATTTAATGGTTTGATTATGTTTATTGAAGATTAATCAATTTAGTTTGTTGATCCATGTTGAAATTCACAAATTGGGCATCTTGGGTAGAAATTTGGAGATTTTGATTAATTGCATAATTTGGATACTAAATAAGGGTTCCAAAGGATTAACTAAGGTTACCGGTTATGAAAAGTTGGAATTGGGATTGGTAGATTAATTATATTGTTAAGATTTATGTTGATATGAATTATGATTAATTATTATATTAAATTCTAGTTGATTGGCACGGTACCACACGTGTGAGTGGTTAGCTTGGATTTGAGGTAACTATGGTTTATTGTTTTTATATAATAGAAAATCTACTGAATTTTTAGTAAATTGTGTGTAAACTGTGTTGGGAATTATTGCCCAAGGCTTGTTTGTTTGATTGGAATAGACTAGAAATTTATGTTTTAAACTTTCTAGTATGCTTACATGTTATGTGAACCGTCAAATTATTATTTTGTATTTTTTCAAGCATGCTAGCCTTTGTTAAATCGAGATTGGTTTTGAGAAATAACTGATGTGATTATTTTGATCCTTTCAAGCATGATTATTGGTGTTCGAACTCTACAAAAAATGTTTTGTTCATTTTAAGTATGCTTAATTGTTCTGAAACTCGACTGTTGAATGTGATGTATTTGTAGGGTATAAAAATAAATTATGTTACGGTGGATGTTTTGAGAGTTGTTGTAATATTATCTATTACTTTATGGTACATCATCACTTAGTTCATAGTGAATGATAGGGCTGTTAAGATTGCCTGAAAGCTTGGTCAGCTTGACCTTGTTCAATCCATTTGGGCACATAGGGTTGGGTTCAAATCTTGCACTACCCAACTCAAATATGTTACTTTTTTTTTTGTTTCTTTTAATATTTTTGTGAATAATATTTATTTTATGGTAGTATTTTTAATTAAAAATTATCACGAATTATATTATTTTAATAATCCTTTTGAACAATTCTTATTACAATTTTTTAATATCTTTCAAAATTCAAAATTCATTTTTAATTTAATATTATGTAAAAATAATTTATAGTTGTTGATCATATATAATTTTTAAAAATTATTTTAGATTCTAATATTAGTTTTATAAAGAATATATTTTAGAATAAGACTTGTGTACTTAACTTTATATATTTAATATACTTATATTTAACCAAATCATGACAAGTGGATATTAATATGTTAATTAAACTAATAACAAGTATTCATTATAAAATAAACAATCTATAAAAGATCTATATGTTTATATTTAATTAGAAATTAATTAGAAACAAGTAAATTAAATATATAAGAACATTAATAAATGTTGGGAGAACTTTGCTACTAATATAATTCTACCTGACCCATAAATAATGAGTAATTGTGTGTGTATAAGCACATTGAGTAATTCATTGAATTACATGACATTGGGGCTGAGTATTTTGTTATGGTCGAGGAACTATGAGCCATCTGGACAAGTTTCATTAGATAATAGTGGATCCATTTTTAGTTCATGCTCGTTAGTGTGATGAGATATAAATCCAAATTTAAAACATTATTTTGAAAGTCTAATTTAATATTAAAATTTTTATATATTGACTATCTAGATATACTCTACACACTCTAAATTTAAAATTTTTTATTTGTAATTAAAAAATACTAGTTATATATATAATATTATATTTATCAAAACAAAAACTTATAAAAATGATAAAAAAATTTTAATATTAAATATAAACTGTGCAGAGTACATCTGGATGGTCAATATATAAAATTTTAATATTAAATTGAATGCTCTAAATTAAATCTAGACAATATTAATGATAAAATATTTATTAAATATTTTTATAATTTATATAAATTTTTATTTAATAAATATAAAATAAAAATATAAAAAAATACTTGAAACCTAGACCTGCACTCACCAGTGTGATGAGCATTGAAGATGATTCCTTGGATAACATATTTCTGGTTTCGCAGACAAGGCAATAAGAAGGGCATTAAGATTTTGTTTAGGTTCGCCATCATTCCAACAATGCGGACTCTGGTTCCATTATGGGGTATCAGGTAGTACAGAATTTGATTCGCACTTCAATGACTAATCTGTTCCGGACTTTGTTTTTGGCTCTATATACAAGATCTATGCTTTGTAGAATTGATTTTGCACTGGCCCCAGGCAAATGACGAGGACATAATCTGCAACCGCCTCAACCCCATAGAGGTCATTTCCAAATAAAAAAAAAAAAAGGAAGCACAAAGCACATGCATGTGCCATTTTTAATAAGGAAGCATCTAATTAATCACAGGGTTGAATGGACTGGCATCTGCCACTCTGGATATCTTTGAAGGGTTGCTAACAGTTGGCTCGGCATCCAGCCATTTTTGGATAAGTTGAAATACTCTTTTATCTCGTAGGAGTTCACGATGAGAAGCAGTAACTTCTACTCTTTCAGCTGCTGGAAGTCCATCAGCCTGCAAGACAAGAGAACGCTATCAAATCCTCAGACACAACTTTCACTACATGACCAAAAGGCAATGGAAAATAAATTTAACTCACATTAGTTAAAGCATCTATCAAATATGCAATGTGGTAGTTAATGTTGGACACTAAAGAGACGAGAATAAAAAATTGATGTAGCAAAGATGAGGATTTCGAGGTGAAAATGTGGTCATAAGAGAAAAGATAAGATCTATAGTGAGCATATATGAGGAGGAGTTGGCATGGCATCTATCGAGAACAAAAATGGTAGAAAACCATTTAAAGTGATTCAAATATACAAAGATGGCTAATGAAGGTACTGGCATCTTGAGCCTGTGAAGAACAGGTGGTCTTGACTTCGTGAAGAGGAGTAGAGAAAGAACAAGAAAAACACTCAAGGAATATATCAAATGGTATCTTTTGGTGGACGATACATCTAAAGAATTAGTTATTAATAGAGCACAATAGTACCATACGTGATTTATATACCTGATTCACTTAATGGGATTAGGCTTTTTATCATTATTACATTGTACAATGTTAACTATTATCCATCTATTTAGCCTACGATAAAGGCCGTAGAATACACGGCTTCAACAACTTGCTTTAGTTCCCGTTTGATGGTCGAACAACTCTCAGAATGACATGCCTGAACAATTTCAGCGATACTAAAACCCACATTATTCTCAAGTTTTCTTCGTCATATACGTCGTAAGTAACATGTTGATCTTGCTTGAAGGGGTAAAACATACATTTGATGCTGTAGTACTAGCTATATTCAAATTGATCCTGGATGAACAAATAAGCTAATCATGTACCCCATATACCCCGTATCTCCCACAAAGTCTTCTCTTAATTTAGCATTAGGAGATGACCAAAGCAATTACAGAGGTTTCAAAATAATCACAGCCAAACAAATGCATCATACAACAACAAGCCTTATCCCACCACATACACACTCTCTTTAGACCACAATATAAAGTATTGATAACTACTTTATAGTTCTCAAAAACAAGTTAGGTGAACTCTTAGGGCTTGTTTGTTTTCTATTTTTAAAATTTTTTTTTTGAAAATAGAAACATCTAAAAATTTGTTTGGATAAGTGTTTTTCATTTAGTTGTTTCTAAAACTATTTTCATTTTTTGTTTTTAAAAGCAAAAAAAAAAAAAAAAAAAAGAAACAACTTTAAGTTACTTTCATTTTAGTTTTTAAAATATACTACATTTAATTATTGAAAATTATAGTTACCTTAACTGATTTTTATTATTAATCACCCCCATTAACTGCCTTTAACCATCACTATCAGACTATTTCTTTATTCTAAAACTGTTTTTTAATTGATATAACCAAACAGACTTTTATTTTATTTTGTTTTAAAAGCAATTTTAAAAACTGTATTACAAGACAGCTTTTAAAAACAAAAAATAAGAACAAAAACCAAACAGGCCCTTAATCTCTTAAAAAATTTTACATCTTTTTAATTATATCCTTATTAAATATCCTATATAAGTACATTAATAATGACAATTGAAGTTCCAGTACATCATTTTTTCAAAAAAAAAAAAAAGTAGAGGTATAGTTTGAAAATCAATTATAAAAACTACCTAATGTCCCCTATATTTTGAATCAAGCAGAACTTTTAGAAGATACTCTATATTGTGGTTCAGAGAGAGTAATACTTTAGTAGTGATAAGAAAAAAATATGCACCTTGGCTGACTCAGCAGGCACTGTTCCATCTCCTTGGACGTAAGAATATTGAGGCTGGGAACAAAGAAGAAAAGTAACTAATTAACAGACAGAACAGAGTCTGTATTTGAGGTGCAAGGTTTCTGAATCTAAAAAAGAAATTCAAGTTCACTTAAAGTACAAGTTTATTGATGGATGTGAAAGTGCCAACAGAAGTTGTGAGTGTAGGACAAGAATTTGGATGAGGATCCACAATTAGAGACTTTATATTCTTCAAGGAAAAAAGGAGGAATGCTATCACGAAAAACTTGAATTATTTAGAGAAAAGTTGAAATTTTAGAAATTGAAGTAAAAGAAATTGGCATGGAGGCGAGAGTTTTTGTTGTTCTAGATGATGTCCTCGTTGATTCTGAAACCGACAAAACCACATTAATAAATTATTCTTGAAAAAGTACATCGAGCCTTCCACCACTCAAAATGTCAGAAGTAAATTTGAATTTTAAAATAATAATACATTTTTTATTTGCAATTTTTTTGCCTGTGCAGTATAACATGAATTTTGAGAGCCAGAACCGTGCAAAAGTACAAAAATGGATTTCTATGCCTCGATGTCAAGATTATGCTACATTATTCAGCCTCTCAACACATATGAGGAAATAGCCTAGAATCGACGGACTATTTTAGATGAAGATATCAAAGCCAGCGTTAGAGACCTCTATCTCTGAAATATGAGAAAGGTGGCTCACCATTGTGTGGCATATTTCAGATAAATCTTCTATAGGAGATTTTTCCGAGCCATAACTGCAATAGGTAGAAACATGTAAAATGCAACAATAGTATAGAAGGGATTTGAAACTTCTGAAGTTCAAAAGGAAATTTGAGCAGTAATGCTGGAGAGAAATGAATACAACCAGAGAAATGGGGGCTATTCATTTGGGACCTTTCTCTCTCTTTCCAACACTATCCCATCTTCAGACGTTGTGAACTAGAAGTCCTCAACTCTCTTGGTAAAAAATCCAATGATGATGGTACTTAAGTGGGATAGGAAACCCTACATCAAAAGCTAATTGCTGAACCAACTCGCTTAAATAATTCATTGAGCATCTCATACTAGCCAATGTGAGACATAATATCCCATACTATACCAAGTCTCCTTCAATTGACCCCCACAAAAAGTAGACATCCCAATAGCTGCACTCTGCTCCACGTAACTCAACATGTCAGTCAGAACCCTACGTGGATAGCTTTCTCCAAAACTGCTAACAACCTGATTCTGGTACTAATTGACAGGTACTTAAGTGGAATGGAGAACCTCACCCCATTCATCCTAAATGGATGGTCCAGATGTTAATAGAAGATTATCCTTTTCAAACAGTTAAAAATAAATAAAACAGATTAAGTTTTGATCTATAAAAGGATGTGGAGCCAACGCTTCAATGGCCCAGCTTAACAGGAAAGAGATTAAATACAGAAGACAAGGCATAGTTTAATTCAATGAGTTGTAAGGAGAATTAAGTTTTCAATATCTATACCATAAGCGATTCAATTTCTTCAAAAAAGTTTCCATACCTCAACTCAAACTAAAACTTCAAATTCATACAAGAGCAATTTACTCACATACCAAACATCAAAGGGTGTATCAAACGATGTCCCATAAATATTATAAAAGCAGACACCATTTGGTAGTTTAGCATTGTGCATAACTTGTCGAGTTTCAGCAGCCCATTTGAGGATAGCTAAGTTGAAGGGCAGTGCTATCTTTTTCCCATCGTAATTTAGCTGCAAAAACTAACGGTCATCAGCCCTCATCAATAGCAAGGGAAAACTTGCAGAGCACAGAGCTACAACTGTGTTTAGAAATTTAAGCTGCGCTATGCTTATGAAGGGGGGAAAAAAGAGGCGTGTCTGATATGATTTTCAAGATCAGCAAATCCTTCTCTCCAAATAAAAAGATGAAATTTGAATAGTGGCATATTTCAGTCTTATTTTATTTTTCGCATTAAGATGCTTCATGACAGGTGACAATCTTGCTTGTGCAGAATCCAAGCCTGTCTCTATTGAAACAGTGAAACCGCAACTTACAAACAAGCTTATAAAGGCCAGTTGAATGATCATATAATCCAGAGTCCCAAGGGTCTGGTAGAGGCCATCACAGCAATCTCTCGTGAGAGCTTACAAGACAGCCAAGAAAATAAAAGCTTGCATGGTTGTAGGGTCCTTTCCTGAAGTAAATCATGGCATAACCATGAACCATGAACTGTTAGCCATATCCACTAAAAAAATTAAGTAATCACTACAGTGATTTCTACACTAAATTAATTATTCACAAACCAGTGAAAAATGACAGAGTATTAAACCTATTTAAACTCCCCATTGATTTTATTATCATTCATTTCTAAACCCCCCCCCCCCAAAAAAAAACTTAGGAAATTCTTAAGATTGCATAAGAAAACAGATAAAGATTGCATAATAAAGAGGTTGCTTTAATGAAGATCCCAGTGTGATATATTCAAGAGTCAACATTTAGAATGTTTACTCAACTAAAACTCCTTAAAAATCCAAACCAAATTTCTTTCTAAAGTTCTAATAGGAATCTGTCCATAGTTAAACTACATTCTCACTCTATAAAATAAAGCTCACATTTCTTAGCCAAAAAGCAAATATCACTTTGCACAAGCAAGGAATTAATAATAACTCAAGATCAATCCCCTAAAAACAGCAGAAATAGGAGCTTTGAACATCCAGAAGCATTAACAATGATGCTTCTTACAAGTTCCAATGAAAGCTCATAACGAGTACCTCATTGTGCCTTAGTGCTTCCTCAAATAAAGATATACTTTGGTTTGGTCCATAAGATTCCAAATTGACATTAATCTCCCCATCCTTGGTATGCTTTCGCCATACTTGAATTTCTGGCCGTTTTTTCCATTTATATTCTGGATTTGCCAGCATTTCATAGATTGATGGACATTCAACTAGCTGCCATGGACCGTGGAAAGAAAGATGATAACATAGTACCTTGTCATTGTGAATTTATGAAAATAACAACTACATGAAGAAATTACTATAAAAAACAGCAGACCAAAACGCATAAAATTATTTTATTGTTTCATCACCAATGAGTCCTGCCATCAAATTTAAATAAAGTTCATTTCATCACATGCTATCAAAGTCAATGCAGGCATGACAATACATTGTCTACCAATCTTTCTAGAGTTAGTTAGGATAATAAAATGCAAGCAGGAAGTTAGCTATAACCCACATTAGTGTAATCAGGAAGTTAGTTTTTAATTAACTCTCTAAAATGACAATAGTTTTATTAACTCCCTGAAACCACAAGGAAGGCAGTTGGTTGTTTGTCAAATAACTGTTTACTAAACTTTCTTCTTCTACTGCAACAAGCAGTATCAGAGCTATAGTTCTTATACCATGGCAGATGGGACCTGATAACACAATGGACGAGATCATTGGAATAAGGGGAAAGACTGACAATAAGAGTTACAGTGGAAAAGGGGCAGAGGAATGGTTGATGGAAGAGGAGAAATTGGGCAGTACTAAAATTTCTCTTAGTGCAATCCAAGGGGTAGAGGGGGTTGATACAGCTATGAGAATTCAAGGTTAGACAGGGAAGAGGAGAATTCAGATCTTGCTTGACAGTGGCAGAACACATGATTTCATAAACCTAGAGCTAGTGAGGAAGCTGGGGATGGAGAATGAGGAAACAACAAATAAAGCAACAGTAGCCTGAGGTGGAAACTAGTCCGTGGAAGTTGTAAAGTGTTTAAATCAATAGCGTCAGTCCAGTGGGATTTATCTAATCTGTCAATTCTGGTACAAGGGAAAACTTGTCACTTTATATGTGTGCAAGCCCCATAGATTGAAGTTTACTAAGAGAAACAGTTGCAAGGAGAGGGATATGAAGGAGCTCATTTGCACCTCATTTAAGCTCATCCATAAAGGAAAGAATTAAAGCATTTAGCAGTTCGAAAAACAATTAAGGGATTGAGCAGATGTTAGCAAATTATCAAGATGTGCATACTGCTCCTACAGCATTACCTCCATTTGGACAGGGGCACAACCGTCAATCCAGTGCACCAGCAACATTTCAATCAGAAGCACCTTTAAGGAGTATGCAAGGAGATTTTTACCTGTATTTGTTAATGACATACTAACCTGAAGCTCAGATATGCTAGAACATCTTAATCACTTGGGGTTAGTGCTGGAGATGCAGAAGAAACATCAATATTTTGTCACATTGAGCAAGCCAAGTCAAGGAAGTTATCTGGGTTGCATTACTAACAGAAATGATGTCGCAAAAAAAAAAAAAAAGTTAGAAGGGGGAAGTGGCCTACTCCAACCTCGGTTAAGCAGCTGAGATCATTTCTGGGGTTGGCTAGATATTACAGAGTTTATTAGAGAATATGGGGAGATAGCTAAGCCCCTAATGAACCTGCTCAAGCAAGGGTGTTTTTCTTGGCCAAGCGAAGCTGATGAGCATTAAAATCATCCAAGAAAGCATTGGTCGATGCACCAGTGTCAACAATTTCTGATTTTGCCAAGATCTTTGTGGACAAGACTGATGCTTCAAGCAAAGGAATAGAAGCAGCACAGATGCAAGGTACTCAGCCAATAGCCTTCTAGAGTAGAGCCTCGTCAGTTGTCACTGGACACACCAGATTATCTGTGTATGAAAGAGAGCTCTTACAAGACACTACTTGTTGCTTTTTTGAGGTCCAAGTAAAAGCCAGCCAGTATGTAGACCAGCCACTACTTACAGTGGTCTTCTGCTAGTTAATTTCTCTCTGGTGCAAACTAAGTACATCATTAACTAAACTGAAGGTCTCCACTTTTGGACAGGAAACTGTATCATTGGAAAATGGTCAATCAACAGCCCAAGATCTGATGTTTAGGGTGAGATTGATTGGAGGTTTTTGGAGGGGAGGGGAGAGGAGGTGAAGGGAGTTGCTCCCTTCCCCTTGTCCAGTTGGCATTTAATGCAGGGGAGGGGAGCCCCTTTCATTGGTTCAAAAATTGGAGAGGAGGGGAATTGCCTCTTCCCCCCAATTTGCAGGGTTTTTGGAGGGGAGAGGAGAGAGAAAATATTTCCTGACTAAATTACCCTTTTTTGAAACTTATAAACTACCCTTGATGTTAAAAAATATAGTTTATCACCTTATAAAATTCAATATATAATTTTTAATGCATAAAATTTTAATATTTTTTCATTAGACACACTAATAAATTGTAATATTGATGTATTGGTCCTTCAAAAAAAAATTATTATTACTGCAAGTTGAAAATACTAACATCCTTGAATTGCCAATAATATATCAAAGCAAAAAATAAAAACCAACTTAAATTTGATTGGGATAAAATTGTCAACTTATTATTGGCTTCCCTCCCCTTCTAAACCAAACAAAGGTTCATTAAAATCCTTCCCCTTATATTCAAAAAAAAAAAAAATTCCTTCCCCTCCCCTCCAATTAATCCAAACAAGGGATCATTAACTTTCCTCCCCTCCCCTCCCCTCCCCTTGCCTCCTTTGAACCAAACACACTCTTAGTCTGTGATTGATGGAAACCAGATTTTCCCCCCTGTTAGAAGTTCATCTGATGCTGAATCTGGTGGTGAGTGGGTGTTTTCTTGAATGCTAGTCATAAAGAAGTTATTGTGAAGCACCCTACTCCTTTCTCATATCATCCAATCACAACACGCTCAAAAGCAAGGATTTTTAAGCCAAGAGTCTTCACGGTCACTCAACTTATTTCTTGTCCTACTACAGTTGATGAAGTGTTTGCTATTTCAAACCAGACTTCAGCTGTAAATGATGAATATAATGCCTTAATTTGTTTTAAGGCAACAGGGAATCAGTGTCTGTTGTGAAGAATAGCAAGCTAATTGATTGTAAGTGGACTTTTAAGTCTAGTACCTGACTGAACCATATACTTCAGAGCATCTAAATAGTTCACTATGCAGTAACTTGGGAATTAAAAGTAGAAGTTTAGTTAAATAATTCGCTAAAAGTATGGGATGTTGCTAGTGTCTGTTAGTGGTCATGTTGTTTTGGTTTATACATATATTTGTCCATTCTTGTTGATCCTTTGTATAAAAGGATCATAGAAACAATTAGCCATCAGGTAAGTTGCTGGGCTTTCAATGAAAATTTGCTGCCAACTAAGCCAACAAAAAAAAAAAAGAAAAGAAACAGTAAACAATTGACTGTATGGGCTAGGCTCAAGCCCAACAGCCAACCTTCATCCATACACTACACCTAGAACCACAAGAAAGGCAGTTGGTTAGTAGTTGAATTATTGTTTCCTAAGATCTCCTTTCCCTTCTCCTCCTCCTCCTCCTCCAACCACAACAGAAAGACATTTTATTGTTTCCTAAGATTACCCAGAACCAGCTGACTTTTGCCTTTGTGGTTCATTGTTTGACGGTGAAACACTTGGGCACAGGTTCAAATGCTGGTAGCCAAAAAACAAAAAACAAAAGAAAAGAAAAAGAAAATTTGCCACCTCTCTTGGCAAGGACAATAAAATTAAAAGTTCAGTCTAATTGAAGATTCCACGCCCCCCCCCAAAAAAAAAATAGCATAATAAAAGGTGTTGCTGTATCATGTTAAAAGAAAATAAATACTGAGCCATAACAGAAAGGACTTGACCCAAAAAAAGAAAAGAGAAAGGACAAATTTACCAGTTGATGCATAGTCCACCTTAATACAAAAAAGTAGCTTTCAAAACCATCAACAAATTGCAGTCCAGTTAATAAAGAATCATTGATACATCCTGGGGCTCCTGTTGATGCAGAATATGAGTTCAAGCAAGGATGGATAAAACATCAAGTGAAAACAAATGTTTATCCCATTAGATTCATGAAGCCTTTATTTGAGGCATCAACAATTTAAGACTTCAAAATGCTAAATGATTTCAAGGAAAAATTGAAAAAAGGCTCAAGACATTAGAAATGAAAGCATTAATGAGAAAAATGGCTTAAGACAGTAAAATACAAAAATGCATTGCTGTAGATAAACATTTTTAATGAAGAGGAATAAGCTAGAGTAACAAATATTAAGGAGAAGATAAAGCCACGCCCTCCACTTATTAATATAAGGTGATAAAACCTCACACCTGAATCATAGGGGCAGATAATAAGTCTTAGTAGCATCAGGAATTTATAATGCTAACGATTTTCTGCAAATTCATTCAGAAAATTTGCATTTGATCATCTGCCATTCATAAATGATTAGATTTCTAATGAAAAAAGTGATTGCCGCAAATTTAGAAATATTGATATTTTAGTGTTGTTTAATAACCCGAATAAGTGACTACAAGATAAGCAACAAAGAAAGAGGAGGAGAGGAGAAGCACAGGGTTCAATTGATAATTACACAAACAACACGAATTAACTTTCCAGTTCACTGCTAATTTAATCTCCCTCCTCACCCTCCTAAAGATACATATATAGTTTGTCTTTCACGTATTAAACTGTTGATGATAGAACAACAATATCATCAACATTCAATATGGATGCAGACATAACATGAATATGCATTGAAAATTATGTTGGGAAGCATTATTCATACAAGATAGGGCAGAGAAATAAACACAAAAACACTCACAGTAGAGGAATTACCTTGGAAAGGACAAGCAATACAAATCCATTTTCGCACATATTTTGAAAATACCTGCCAAGGTAGGATGTATTTAATAGCCTAGAATTTTTTCCAGCCATTCTTTCATATATGCTGTACAAATAGTTCAAAGGTCCTAAGTGGTCAACAGTATTAAAGATAAGGGGAAAATGACATTTAAAGACCCTCTAAGAACATTAATTATAATTAAGAACAATAAATTTTTGAAATTCCAAAAAAGGACCATGGTCCTTGGTTGGAATTAAATTTTTTTCAGTTAAATGTTTCAGTACTCGTCATCTTGTAAATTTTCAGTATCCAACTCTGATCTTTTGAGTACTTATCTTTAACGTTTTAAGTAATCATTTTTTTTTCAATACTCATCTATAATGTTTTTAATACTTGTCTTCCATGTTTTCAGCACTTATTTTTGACTTTTTCCCTCCAAAACCGAAAATATTAAAAATAAGTATTGAAAAGATTAAATTTGAGTGTTGAATTAATTGAAATAATGAGTATTGGAAATATTAATGATGAGTATTGAAAATATCAAAGATAAGGGTTAAAAGGTCAACTCAAAGAAATCTTAATCCCAACCAAGGTGGTCTTTTTTTTAATTTCCAAAAGATATGATCCTTGTAATTAATGGTCTTAGAGGGTTCTTAATATCATTTGCCCAAGAGATAAATGCTCCTCACATCATTGTGAAGCTCCATGAAACACAATATCAGTATTCCTCCCATTGAATGTGAAATTATATCAACTTTTCTTCCACCAGAGGCTTTGTAAGCATTTTCCAACTTGACTGTAAGCCCTTCCATTAACTTGTCAATTCTGCCAACAACAAGGTTTAAAGGTTGAAAAGTTTGTATATGGCAAGAAGACTTCAAGAATTTCCAGTCATATAAAATTGTTACATATGTTGCTTAGCGGCTAACAACTTAAGCTTCTACAGTAATTACCGATTGCTTTGCCGGAAATCATAACCATATCCAAACAATGTGGTTCCCTTCTTGTATCCACATTTAACAAGCATGTCAATCATATCATGAAAATGGTATACCTCAGTCAAATGCACACATTTTACCACCTGAAAGATGGAAGAAAAACATACCAAAATTATTTTAAAGTTGAAAAAAGCTTGTTCACTATAAGTTGTATTCCCATAGAAAATAAGATTCCATGAGTCAGGAAGTGCAAGAACAATTCTAAGCTAAAATTCTAAAAGAGTGCATTACTGAAGTGAACAGAGTAATGAAAACTGCAATACATTAATTTGACAATCACTATTGTACTTAACGTTTTGTTAGCTTCAAAACCCATGGTTTTCGGTGATTTCCACAGTGCAGACGACCAAGAGAGCACAATTTGAGAAAGTTGTAAGGTCGCAAAAATTCTAGAATATAGTTGGAAGGAAGAACTCCGCCTATGTTTATAGCCGGTCCCAAGCCCGGGTAAAGGAGGAGGGTTGTGTTAGGCCATCAACAGCCAATGTAAAAATTTGTTGAATCTATCATGAACATGGACAATAGACGTTATAATGTTAATACTAGGTCGTTGCCCGTAAGTAACGCGCTGCATGGCTCGAGTACAGTGATAAGTGAGTTAGAGCCGCTGCATCGGCGCCCGGATGTAGTGTTAAATGAGCAAGGGCTACCGCGTCATTCTGGACGCACGCGGCTAAAGAAGTTAGTCCATAAGAGCAAAATTAGATTTGGTACTTGGAATGTTGGGACATTAAATTGTAAATCTGTAGAGGTTGTAGGGGTTATGATTCAAAGGAAAATCAATATCCTTTGCTTGCAAGAAACAAAATGGCGTGGAGAAGAAGCTAAGGATATTCAAGGTTTCAAACTTTGGTATACAGGAAAAGTAAGTGCACGCAATGGAGTAGGCATCATTATAGATAAGGAGTGGAAGAAGAACGTTGTAGAAGTTAGCAGAATTGGAGACAGAATTATTTCTTTAAAAATGATAATTGGACGTGAGACTGTTAATATTGTTAGCGCTTATGCGCCGCAAGTCGGGACAGAAGCCAGTCTTAAGGAATTATTTTGGGAGGATCTGGAGGGGTTGATTCGACACATACCACAGAGTGAAAAGATTTTTATTGGAGGAGACTTTAATGGGCATGTCGGGAGGGAAGCTGGTCAGTATGCGAGGGTGCATGGTGGTTTTGGTTTTGGAGAGCTAAACAATGAAGGGCAAACTCTTCTTGATTTCTCATTGGCGTATGATTTTAAGATTGCCAACACTTGTTTCAAGAAGAGAGATGAGCATCTCATCACCTACAAAAGTGGAGCCTCAAGGTCGCAGATTGATTTTCTTTTGGTTAGGAACACAGATAGAAAACTTTGTAAAAATTGTAAGGTGATCCCTGGAGATGCTGTAACGACACAACATAGGGTCCTAGTCCTTGATGTGTGTATTATGAGTAAAATCCAAAAACGTCGACAAGTAGTAACACCAAGGATTAGGTGGTGGCAATTAAAAGGTGAGAAGCAAGATATTTTCAAGCGAAATCTTTTGGATAAAGGAATTTGGGATTCTCAGGGAAGTGCTAACATCATATGGGAGGATATGGCTAAAAAGATACGGGAGGTTGCAAAAGTAGTTTTGGGAGAATCGAAAGGTTCTGGTCCGAGAGATAAGGAGTCTTGGTGGTGGAATAATAGTGTACAGGACAAAATCAAGTATAAGAAGAACTGTTTTAAAGCCATACATTTGTGTAACAATGAGGAAAATTGGGAGAGGTACCGTATGGCTAAGAAGGAAACTAAGAGAGCTGTGGGTGAAGCTCGTTCTAAAGCTTTTGAAGAATTTTATAAGAACTTTGAGACGAAGGAAGGAGAGCAAAATATTTATAAGATTGCCAAGAGTAGGGAAAGAAAATCAAGAGATCTAGAACAGGTAAGGTGTATTAAGGATGAAGAGGGAAGAATTTTAGTTACAGATGATGAAATTAAAAATAGATGGGAGACTTATTTTTCTAAACTTTTCAATGATGGAGAGGATTCATCTAGTAACTTGGAGGATTTAGTAACTGGTGAAGGAGAACAAAATTTGTCATTCTATCGAAAAATACGTGATAAGGAGGTAAAGGAAGCTCTTAAGAAAATGGCAAATGGTAGAGCTAACGGACCTGATTGTATATCTATCGAAGCGTGGAAATGTTTAGGTGAAGAAGGGGTGAGATGGTTAACTAAGTTATTTAATGTGATTTTACGGTCCAAGAAAATGCCTGATGAGTGGAGGAGAAGTACATTAATTCCTATTTATAAAAATAAAGGAGATATTCAGAATTGTACTAACTATAGAGGGATTAAACTCATGAGCCACACAATGAAATTGTGGGAGAAAGTAATTGAGCACAGGTTGAGATTGGAGACAAGTATTTCTGAGAATCAATTTGGTTTTATGCCAGGTAGATCAACTACAGAAGCGATTTATCTACTAAGGGGATTAATGGAAAAGTATCGTTGTAAAGATAAAGATCTACACATGGTTTTTATTGATTTGGAAAAAGCATATGACCGTATACCAAGAGAAGTGCTTTGGAAAGCGTTGAAAAAAAAGGGAGTACAGATTGCTTATATTAAAGCCATACAAGATATGTATGAGGGGGTAAAAACTAGTATAAGAACGCCTAGTGGTCAAACAAAGGATTTTCCTATAAAGATTGGGCTACATCAGGGATCATCTCTGAGTCCTTATTTGTTCAACTTGATTTTAAATGTTTTGACGGAACATATTCAAGAGGAAATCCCGAAATGTATGCTCTTCGCGGATGATATAGTTCTTATAGCAGAGACAAGAGAAGAGGTTAATTGCAAACTTGAGTTATGGAGGAGGACATTGGAGTCGAAAGGTTTTCGTCTGAGTAGAAGTAAGACGGAATATTTATATTGTAAATTTGATAAAGGACTATTCGAAAATAATTTGGAAGTGAAATTGGGAGATCAAATTATACCTCAAGTGGAAAAGTTTAGATATTTGGGAGCCATTATCCAAAATGATGGCGAAATCAGTGGAGATATTTCACATAGAATTCAAGCTGGGTGGTTTAATTGGAGAAAAGCTAAAGGAGTTATTTGTGACCGTAAGGTGCCTAATAAACTTAAAGGAAAGTTTTATCGTACTGCTATCAGACCGGCAATGTTATATAGTAGTGAATGCTGGGCTCTAACGGGACAGCAAGAACATAAAGTTGGAGTAGCAGAGATGAGAATGTTACGATGGATGTGCGGACATACACGTAAAGATAAAATTCGAAATGAGCACATACGTGAAAAAGTGAGGGTGGCACCTATTGAGGAAAAAATGGTAGAAAATCGGTTGAGATGGTTTGGGCATGTACAAAGAAGACCAAGGGAGGCACCAGTGAGAAGAGTGGAACATATAACTTTGAGTCCGATTAAGAGAGGTAGAGGAAGGCCTAAGAGAACACTCTTGGAAGTTGTTGAACGTGATCTCTTAATTAATAATATTTCTAAAAGCTTAATAAATGATAGAGCACAATGGCGTCTTGCAATCCATGTAGCCGACCCCACCTAGTGGGATAAAGGCTTGTTGTTGTTGTTGTTGTTGTTATAGTTGGAAGGAAGGACAACTAGGTCAAAGCACCAATGTCTGTCACAACCACATTCCACAAAGCCAAAGCATGTATTTGTAAAATTTAATGCACAATGCTCTGTATGACTATCCTTTTATCATCAATGACCACCACATTCCAAAAAGCGAGCAAAAAGCTACAATAAGGGCCCGTTTAGTACACTGGAAGGGCTTTTGAAGGCAATGGAGGTGGAGGTGGAAAAGGATACGAAAGTGGAGTTAAAAACACGTTGCCACAGCCACACAAGGCTTAAAAGCCGCATAAGAGTGATATAAGATCTGTGCTTACCAATGATGGATCTAAAATATCGATTGCGTACAGCCCATAATCATCTTCAGGAACGACAACTTCAGTGTTTTGGTCTAGTGTTTCTGCATAACCTGAGGTGCACAAACAAAAAGCTTGGAGACAAATTACCAATAGTCCATTTCATTGATGATGCATGTAAGGCGTAGTACTGCAAGTTTTGAAGCTAAAGAAATCTCGACCATTCCTTGCATTTTAATCTTTGCATACCTTTTGTAACCCACGGAAGCAAATATGCTTGAACAACCAGAGGTTCATAAATAAGCCGTAAATTGAAAGCAAGCAGAATCAATTGATTTAATTGCCTCAGACATCAAATCAACAAAGGGACGACCACATGCACATGCAGGCAGAAACAGAGAAATAGAAGACCTGTTTGGGGATTATAGATGGACCACAGCTTCTTTCTGAACTCCAAATCAGCCAGAAGAATCCTAACCCATACGCGAGACTGAAACCCGAATTTCTTGGGCCTAGAGTGAAGAATGGAGCCTCCCATGCCAGAAACAAGGAGAGCCGGGTTACGATCCTCGGTTGCCTCCCTGGAGCTTCGGCCTTGGAAAGAATAGAAAAATTGCAAGCATTCTGCCATGGATGGCTGCTGACTTCACCCAAACTTGCGTGGACACTGCAATTGGAAAATAATGTCCTCGACGAGAGGAAATGAGGGAAAATTAATAAATTATGCAGAACCATGCGGCTGGTAACCGTCGTCCCTCTCCACTCTACTAAGCCGTCTTCACTATAACAGGCGCAGCATCTAAACGGGCATATTCCTGCTTTTTGGATAATAATTTCAATTCAATTAAAAAAAACTCTGGATTTAATTTCAAATTAGGAGTAATAAAATTCAGGTTAAAATATAATTTATATTTAAAGTAAATACTAATATTTTTTAAAAATAATTTTAAATATTTATTAATTTTTATTAAGGATATAACACAATAAAATTAAATGCTAAAAAGAATGCATAAAATATAAAAAAACATAATTTTTGATCCTTGCACTTTGCTCATGTTTTGCTATAGGTCTCTATAATTTTTTTTATTTTAAATTTTTACACTTTCATTTTTTAATATTTTATACTCATCTAAGGTCCCTACACTTTATTCATTTAGGGACTTAGAACACTAAAAGATGAAAGTGTGGGGACTCAGAATATAAAAAAAATGTAGAGACTTATAGCAAAACAGGAGCAAAATGTAGGGACCAAAAAGTATATTTTTTAATATAAAATTATAATAAAATAAAAACTTATTTTTTAATAGAATAAATTTTTTAATCTTTTAGATCATAAATTCTTATATGGGACAAGTGAATTTTTGTTAGGCGGCAAGTGAAATTTTTTGAAATGATAGGAGTAAATGAAATTTTTTGATGGAGACATATAAAAGTTTTGGAGTCTTGTTATGTAATATTTTCTTGGTTTGTTAAAGCAATTGCCCCCACAAGTTTCAACATGGGTTTGTCTTTGGTTATGTCATTAATTATGTGTATTTTGAATAATGAAATATATGTTTTGAGAATCCATGTGTTAGATTAAATATTATTTTATTGAGAAAGTGTTTATAATAAAAAGTTTATTAAAAAGCATGATTTTTAATGTGTTATGTACTTATATGTATTGAAACTGTTCTTAATTGTATGACATGTTGATGTATGATTAGGAGTCATGCGATAGATAACCATGTGATATGTCTCCATTAAGTCCAATGGGTGGTGCATGTGGCTTAGATTAGTTTACCTTTAGCCAAGTGAATTAGAGTATCGAGCATAGTCTATGGAAGAGATAAGGAGTTGTCATGTCATATATATGTATTTGTAAATTGAATATGTATAACTATTTAAAATGTGTTTTTTTCCTATTTAGCAATTCGCATATTTGATAACTTTACATGATTTATTTCATTCTAAAATTGATTACTGGAACTATCATGTCTCATTTTCTGTGGTTATTATTTTTACAAAAAAGGATCTAGCAAGAGAAGTATTAGGAGATTAATAGGGTGTATGTTGACACCATCGGCTCGTGTGGTCTCTCTTTTTTGGTTGAAGTAATGTATAGAATTATAACTTATGACATTTTGGTTTATTATGAGCACATAGACTCTTTAATTAGGACATTTTTGTTTATTATGAGCATATAGTCTCTTTAATTTGAATTATCTTGCATATGTTGGCCATGAGATTTTTTTTTTTGCTCCTCATGGTCCAAACGTGTTATTTAAAATTATTTATGTTATTGTATTGGTTATAAGACTTATGTTTGCCCTCATGGTCTTAAGTGATTATTGTTTGATTGTTTGGGAGATTCGATTATAATTTAAGTTTGAATTATTAATTATAAAGCTTGTTGGGGACTATGTTTTGCTGTTTTGAAATTTTTAAATAGTTTATATCCATTTTAAAGGACTTATTTAATGAGATCTCATTTTAATATTTCCTATCTAGTTAAATTATATTCTTAAATATCAAGATAGATCTTTTTTTTATTTGAGAAGCTTTTTTATTACCATGATAGATCCTTTTCTGTCATGGTAATTGATATTTATAAAATAATTTTTTTGATACATCGACACAACTAAGGCTAATTAGCCTACGCCCTATCCCCTTGGTGTGCAATCTTTGGCTATGATAGCAAGAAGGTCATCAGGAGCTCGCATCGAAAATGTAATCCCTAGCATCATGCTGAGTCTAAGCTTTACGAGATAACCAGCATCCTTGTTGATATTTCAATTGATTTGCTTCGCACAAACATCTTACTCCCTTTACAGTAAGAATGAACCATCATACTAATTTCATGATCACCATACTCGCTGTTGTAGCCATTCATCATCAAGTCCACAGTCTCGACCGAATCAGTCTTAAGCTCATAGTAGTCTTAATCCCACATCCTATACAAGTCACAAACCATAAATGCCTATAGTTCAGTTGTTAGAGAGTCACCCTTATCTATTTTGTGGGAGAATCCATGTAAAAACTTTTCATTAGAGTCCCTCAAAAGGCCTATGTAAGCTGCATGGAAATTCTATTGAGAGAATGCCCCATCCACATTATAATTCACCCATATATATTTAGATGGTTCCCAGGTATCCTTCATAACCTAAACTTGCCATTTCTATGACCTTTTTGCAAGGATGGATTGGGCATTCCTTAAGCTACAAATTGTTGCATTTTCACTCACTATTATAGTTTCATTACTGGTTTGGCTATTCTCAAATAGTAAGAGGTTCTTACATTTCCAAACCCACTAACAAATCACCATGAACAAAGAGCACCAATCCTCATGATTCAAATTTCTCCTTGAAGTTAGGTTCTACCTCACCTAGTCATTTAGATTCTAAACTAAAGAAGCTATCCCATGCATCTAAAGGTACAATACCTATATATAATTGTCGTGTGTTATCACAGTCTCTAAGGATATGGAGAGTGTCTTCCATTTTAGCCTTATAAATTGAGCACATATCTTCATTATAAATCCCCCTATTTCTTTTAAGCAACATTCATAAGTAAAACCTTTACATAACACGAGCCAAAAGAAGGAACAACATCTTTGTAGGATCTTTAGTTTTCATATTTGAGACCAGAGTGGGTCTACTTCATTTATGTCCTATTAAAGTTGTAAATAGGCTAATTCAACAAAGAAATTTCTATTCTTTTCCCACTTCCATATAATACTTTTCCCTCATGGATAATTTCCAACCCCTTCCTAACTTTATCCCATTATTTTTTTATTCTAAATCAAATATTAGAGCCTGGTCTCTTGTTATTAATCTTTAGGATTGGGTACTTACCATAGTGATATTTATTTTAAACAACCTTTACCTAAAAGTCATATCTCCTTTTGGTCAAATTCCACCCAAGTTTCATCAATAAAGCTTTATTTTAGAGTTAGGCTTGATGAAGCCCTAGCCCGCCTCTCTCTTTTGATTTACAAATGTTATCTCAGGCCACAAGATGAATTCTCCATCTTTCTCTAGTACTTCTTTAGTAGAAATCCCAATTGCATTTTTCTAGCACTTCGTAAGTGCTTACTAAAAGGATTTATTTGCATCATATAGCTTGGAATTGCACTTAAATATAGGAGATAAGACTTGTACAGCCAGCCATAGAGATAAAATTAACTTTCCAACTGTCCAATTTAGACTGACCTTGCCACCACCCCTTTAAAGGTGTCTTTCACTACTCTTTGATGATGAAGGGGAACTCTAGATGTTTACCAACATCCCCTGTTTGGGTAAACCATGAATTAGAACTCAACTAAGAACACTTGTGATGGTTGACATTGATAGAGAAGTAAATTCTAGTTTTGGCAATGTTAACCTTTAAACCTGAGCTAGCACATAAGTTATTTAAGCATTTACTTTTCACTTCAACTTATTGTAGAGAAACTTTAGTAAATAGTATGATATCATCAACAAAGGATAGATGAGAGATAAGAGGACTTATTTTGGTCAAGTGGATAGGCTTCTAACTCCCTTTTTTGGTGTGCATTTGAATCTCATGAGCAAGCTTCTCCATATAAATTACAAAAAGATAATGAGACATAGGATCCCCCTTGCCTCACACCCCTTGAAGTGGCAATCTTCTTTGCCTTATTGCTATTCTAAAGCAACTGGATCCGAGTTGTAAAAACATAAGAAGAGATGAGATCAATAAATTGAGAAGGAAAGCAGAGCTCTTGTAAGCATTCATTAAGAAAATCCTAATTCACTTTGTCATAAGCCTTCTTTAGATCAATTTTATTCCATGAAACCTTTCTTTTTCATATTTCTCATAGAATGAATCACTTCTTATTTTATAATAATATTATTAGCACTATTCATGCCTAGGATAAAACTACACTAATTAGGGGAAATCACATAAGGAAGAAAGTTCTTCAACCGATTTGCAGCTATCTTTGTAATAATTTTATAACTAACATTGTAAAGAGTAATGGGGCAAAGGTCTCTAAATGACTTTGGGCTTCTTTCTTTAGGATGAGCACTAATAAGGTCTTATTAGGTTCCTTAATCTTTATTAGGACGTCCTTAATCTTCATTAGGTTCTCAAAAATATTATTTACAAGGCTAATAATAGCTCCTCGAATGGTAGTTTATTGATTTTGAAAGAAAAGGGCATTGAAACCATCAAGACTTGGGACTTTTAAAGGACCCATGCTAAATAGCACATCCTTAATCTCCTCCTCCTCTACAGGTTTAGCACATAAACATAGGAACATATCATCCACAATAGGGAAGATAACTGAACAATCTAAGATTGTTCTGCTAGTGGTGTCATTATAGAACAAATTTACAAAGTAAGAGGTAGTACATGACTTGATTTCATCTATATTATATAGCCGTGTACCTTATTATTATAAATAGCATCAATTTTATTCATCTTATGATGTTTGTTTACATACGAATGGAAGAGTTTGATGTCATGATCACCTTAAAGATTCTATTTAATTCTAGTCTTTTATGCCTAGAGAAGAGACTCTTGTATTATAACATCTTTAAGCTCTTTCCACAGGGTAATTTGTAGCTCATTAAGTTTGCTATTTTCACCATCTCTAGTAATAGCTCTTGGAATACTATCTAGTCTTGTCATAATCTTTCATTTACAAGCATCAATATGACTAAATGTATTATAATTGCATCTATAGAAAGCTGATGTAAACTCTAACATATTCCTGCACCGGTCAATGTCCTCATGCCATGTATTAAGAATAAACTCCTCATAAAGAACCTAGGAGG